GAACTTACCGACATCTGTTTTTAATAGGGATTTACATGGCTTTTCTCTTACATTCTGGATTAATTTCTTCTTTGCTTGTGCCGGTTCATCGTCATTTTTATCAGCCTTCTATAGATATTTTTTATTAATTTATCATGAAGGAGCCAATAATTATTTGGGCCATACAAAATTCTGACACTGCGAAGTATATCATGAAGAATTTAAAATAAAAAACATATTTGCAAATAAAATACTTACACGCTTAGCATTCGGAAAACGCCAATGGATACCATTAAGAATTATTTCGGGACGTGATTCATCAATGCACAAAATATCCGATCGCTTATGACTCTTCGGGGTTCGATAAAAGTGTTCCGCAGATATTTTATCTCTTTGGTGGCGACGATGAAATAATCCCCTTGTCCCAGCATTAGACGATCGATTTCCCCACCACGATCGCAGTTGATTTCTGCGACCGCGTGATTCTTCAACAGAAAAACATATAAATAAACAACAAAAAAATATGGAATTCAAAAAATATAGGAAATATTTTTAAAGTTAAAAGCCATAAAATATAATAAAGCAAGTCAGCTTAGGTAATTTAAAATCGTCGATAGGAAAATTTTTTAACGGAAAAATAACAAACCAAAAGATCGACTGGGACGGTCGAAATTAGTATAAACAGTATGCGAATTAGCTGGAAATTTTGAATTAAACTGAATCTTTTGAGGTAAACGGAATTTTAGTGTTGAAATCATCGCAGTATGCACAATCAATAACTAAATAAAGAAAAAATATTAAAAAACAAATATATTTAATATAAATATAAATAAACAAAATAAAATATATAAATATTCAACAAAATAAAATATATAAAAAAATATTCAAATATAAAATAAACAAAAAACAAATATAAACAAATATATTTATCGATGGCAATTTATCGCGAATATTATTAAAATTAAAGAGGAAACGAAAGAATTAAAAAAGCACTAAAAGTGAAAATGACTAAATTTTGCCGCAGAAAAAAATAAACCATAACTCTACAACTGAGTAATTCTTTGTTTAACGCTGCGCGAATACGAAACGCCGTCGTCTAAAACGGAAAAAGGTCATTCACAATCGATAAATACGATGAGAATTTCCTTAGAAATCAGAACTAAACTAAAACCCCCTTCCACAACACCTCACTCCACCAACCTCAACGACCTCAAACTTGGCAATGATATTGAAGCAAGGAGATGAATTGACAGAAAATTTCCGCAAGGAAAGAGAATTCGAATTTAATACCGCCCTCATGTCTTCGTTTTAAGACGCATTAGAAATTTAAATGCCTTTTTTGAGAAAATTTGAATATAAAAGTGAAATGGCGAATTCTTTTAATAATTTTGGGAAAATTTCATAGATTTTATCGACATAAATCGTTGATTAAGTGATTAGAATAATTATAAAATTATATTCGCTTCCGCTTTGAAAGCGAAGTGAAAGGAACCATCAAAAAATTTTGAGTTGCGCTGAGAAAGGAAAGACGGAAATCCATCTTTTGCTTCTCATAAATTACTCGTAAATCGAATAGAGTTCGCGGTTTTTAAAATCTCTCAGCCATTCTCTCTCAATAAACGACAATGACTGGAAGAATTAGTGAAGGATTGAAGAAGGAAAATTGAATGACAACGCGAGTGTTATTTTTATTTGAATATTAGCAAAAATATTAATTTTTATTTTAAAAATATTAATCAATAGTTAATATAATAATTAATAATAATAAAAATAGTTTTCGAGGCAATTTTCGTTTTCCTTTTCATTATTTTTATTTACTTTATTTTATTTACTTATTTACTTTTATTTTCTTTTCATTACTACTTTTATAATTTTCTAAATTTTTTCAATTTTAATTTCCAATCTAAAAAGATTAAATATCAAATATTTATTATATTATTTTAAACATTTTAGAAAATATTTTATCAATTTATTTAAATATTTAAATAATATTAAAATTTAAATAAATTGGTAAAATATTTAAATATTTATTCAAATATTTTATCAATTTATAAAAAATTAATGGTCGCTAATATGTCGCTTTAAATCTCCGATTATCTTTTATCGTCGCTATTTTGTCATTCCATTTGAATGAAGTACCTTTGATAATTCTTTGACAGTTTATACAATAATGGATGCTTTACTGCACTATATGTATGCACTATAATAGGTTAATTAACTTCTAAATCATTTATAATAAAATAAATTTTTCACTTTTGTAGTGTAAGGAAATACACAACAATTCTCCATTTTCCCAAATTATAATACGTGCTTTTCTTAAGAATCTGTCAACGCTGATTAAATTTGAAATCTGAAACAAATGCATTTCACTGATTTTCCTTTCGGACCTTAGGGATTTATATTGAAATATATTATTGAACACAAATATGATTGATTTGAGTATAAAATTATCGAGCAAAAAAAGAATAAAAACTCATAACCATCTATATTTCCCTATTCTATTTATAATTATTATGGATCCCTAAACAAAAATGATCTGCACGGCACTATCGCACATTTAGTTGCAACAATTGCAAAAAATTTCTGAAAACCGATAAATTACAGCAACAAATATGTGTTATGCCCATCTTTCGGTATCTTTTTAATGCATAAATTATATAAAAGCACAGAAAGTCTTAAATTCGTATCCATTCACATCTTGCCATTGACCATTATTTAGTGATTGAGGAAATGTTCACAGTTAGCCTTAAAGTCATAAAAGAAAAAACCAAGTACCAAATTATTCAGCAACCTCGCACAGCCACTCGAAAATTCCCACTACTCGATTTCAGGGACACATTTTTATCAGACCACTCTTGATGGTATCCGAGATTCTCTCTCTTTAGGTAGAAATAATAAATTCTCAGAAATAATAATATCATATTTCTCGACACCTTCACTTAATTTGGCGAAATTATTTATCATATCGAAGATAACAGAAAAGAAATATAAACAATGTAAAAGAGACAAGCAGCACGACAATATGCGATGAAACTTGCACGTCTCAATATTTAAAAAAAGATGAATATATTATTTAAATAATAAAAAAATGAATATTTCAGAATTTCAGAAACATAAACATAGCTATAGCTATAAATCATTTCTCCCTAAATTTATCTAATAGTTGAAAAACCAAAAAAAAACCTGGCTTTTTCTTCACTTTTTTAATTTTCATTTCGTCTATATATTTAGTTTCATTGGAATAAACTGGTTTATATTCGTTGAGAACAATCGCAAAATCGGACAAAATATTTCTTGATAAAGCAAATTTTCATGTTTAATAATTCATGTTTTGATCGTACATTCAATGGATTTTTTCCTTCATTTGTTAATGGGTTTTAAAGGAAATCTGAACAGAATCTGCACTCTTAGAGGTGCAGTATGAGTCGATCAAATACCAGATAGGTTCCAAGCATAAAAATCATAAATTATTAAGTAGAAAACTCCAAAACTCCAAAAAATATATCGGTGCGTGGTGTTTTGCATAACGAGCAATAGAAATGAACGTATTAATAAAAATATTACTGCCTGAGGAAGTATTCAAATTCACTTTACACTCTTAAAGAGTTAAGAAAGAAATTTATCGGAAATAACGATTACATTTACATTTACATTCTTTACATTCTTTTTCAATAAATAATTAAATATTTCATAAATTTTGAGATGAAAAGGAATATTTTTGCAATGTTTTGCGATATTTTTATAATATTTGAAAGGTGATAATATTTTAAAAAATCAAAAAAAAAATTAAATTAGTCAAAGTTGTGCTTCAAATAAGAGAATTGTACGCTTTTTATCAATTACAATTAATCAAATATGATAAATTGACATTTATCATTGTAGTTATTACATTTTATACAATTCTGCTGATTCTATTGCATTTCAAAATATTTTTTAATAATAAAACTTAAAAATTAATAAAAATTTTTCTCAATTTTTTTTAAAATTTTTTAGTTTTTAGTTTGGATAAAAAGTTTAATGACAATCGAATGACAAAAGTGGTATAATTAAAAATAAAGGGATTATGAATCAATAAAAGAAAGATTTGATAATTTTACGGTTCTTAAGAAAATTTTTAAACGTTTGAGAATTCATTTGGGCTATCGGTTCATATTTGGATTTATACTAAATATTTCCTATAATTTCCGGTAGAAATATTTTTCCGGAAATTATTTTAGGATATATGCCTAATTATATTAGGTATTAGTTTTAATTTATTTGTTCAACCCTATTTACTTTGTTTTTTATTTTTTCTGATTGCTGTTATGAATATTTTCACTTTTATTTATATAGTTGAAATTTTTATATTAAAATTTCTCCTCCACTTTCAATATCAATTTAGAAATCGGGATGGTCCAGACTTATGGCCTTTATCATTTATTCGTGGCAAAAAACTGGTTTAGAATATTATTTCTCCTTGAAATTACAAATTCAGCAATTTATTTTTAGCCAATTTTTCTTATTATCCTCTAATTCTTTATGGTTTTATTTGGCAATTGACCAGAGGTGCGATTAATTTAGTAATAATTAATCACCAGTGTAGCACCATTTTTTAAATAAAGGTATTCACCGTTGCTGGTTAGACTCATTCCACTGGCTAGCCAAATATGCCAGAGAGTCCTTTTGCTATAGAAATGCAGATGAGTTGCCAGTATCATTGGACAGGCTAATTCTTGCAAAAACTCAGTGTCCGAGTTGAACGTGTTGAACGACACCCTGCTGAAACGTTTTCCGCTATCCTTAGTTTTCTCTTACTTTGCCGTTAAACGGTTCAACGAAGTGTGGTTCTGCTCCAAACAGATTTGAACAAATGCCTCAACTCTCGATAGCAATCATCTTCCCAATCAGCGTATCATTAATAATTATAGACTGAAGACTTCAAAAAATCTCATTCTTTGGGAATTATTAATTGCCATTATTGATTGGTATTTCGGAATAATTGATGTCTTCGAATTGCAAAATATTTATTTTAAAATCACCTGTTATCACCTGATGATAAACATTTTACAGTGATAAGAATTATGGCTTAATAAATGTTTATATTATTATTCTGTTACATTCTATATTATTCTGTTACATTTTTCGCAAATAATACAAATTCTTAACACTTGATGGCGAATGAATTTAAGAAAGCGAAATTCTCTCGATTTTGCATGGTAATATTAACTGATTATTAATAACCAAACGTGAAATAATGATTATTACAAATGAGTTCGTTCTGTTAAGGTGATTTAATCAGGTGATAAAGATAAAAGATAATATAAAAAGTATTCAAAAGAGTAAAAATTTCTCACAAAAAATAAAATTTTCCAAATGAACTATTATCATAAACAACCTACTGAAAAAAATTTTAGGCAAAAATTTCTCATATAAATTTCTTCATTTGTTTGAATCACTTCATTTGTTGCATTATCTGCATAAAGAAAGGCTTTTTTGCTCAATTGTTAACTATTTGTTGTAAATAAAAATATTTTGAGAAAATCTAAAAAATATTATTTTTATTATATTTATATGCTGCACCTAATTAGAATATAAAACATCAAAATCGGGAATTGTTCAGTTTAATTTCGATTTTTAAATAACCCGTTTGCAGAAATTATCTCACTGTATTGGATTTTCAGCAAATGAACGAGTCTAATCAGTAATATGGAACCACTTTTATAGAATTGTATATTAATTGAATCGAATTGAATTATATATATTTTTAAATGCAAGAAATACGAAAAAAACACAAAATTTAATTCTTCGAAGCATTTATTCATTTTATCATTTTATCATCGAATTATCATCGAATTTATTGACAATTAATTTATCTGCGATACACGACATGGATTGTCTCTTCTTTCATGATATTATAATCTGCAAGTGTACGTCCATTCTCCAATTGTTTACCTTTGTAAATTAAACGTAGATCAGGAGGATTGTAAGGAATTTTTTCGCCAATCTTTTCTCTCAAGTTTTCAATAGTTTCGTTCGCCTCAATATCAATCGTAAACATTTTTCCACTTAATAGCTTCGCATAAATCTCTGAAATTCATTGCTTTATTCAGATTTTCCGATAATTTTAATCTGAAAATTAAATTTAAAACTAAAAATTGTAATTGTAAAGGTGAAATTCGCCATGTTGCCAAATAAATGTGAGCACTCCACTCTTCATTTTGCGAAATTTTTATAATACGCAATGCTTAATAATTTCAAATTATTCGAAATGCATAGAAAAAGCGTTTGATAACTTACGCATAGCAGAAGTGTTAACGATA